AAGGTAACTTGGCAGACCTGGGCTGCTCAAACCCTGCCCATTCGAAATGATGGCCTTTTGGGGCCCTCGGCCAGCCCCTGGAATACACCCTCTCAGATCTTAGAATACGCTGCCTGGTGGCATTGGTTTTTAGACTTGAGGCCCTGGGTTAACTGTGCCGGTTTGAGGGGATACGTTGTCCTGACAGTGGGCTTTGTGCACCCCCCTGCTTCTGCTCTCGGAGGAGGGGCTGGTGTCCGAGTAGCTGAGGCGAGGCACACGCGTGCTACATGCCCTGCCCGTGTGATGGACCCACAACCAAAACTCCAACACCAAGGCTCAGGTCAGCTTCCCTGCTCGTCAGAGCTTGTCATGTGTCATCACACAGCAGTGCTGGTCGGATTGAGTGTCCCTGTGTGACTCCACAAAGGTGATTTTTTAAAGCCTTGCTTCCCTGTTTTTAATCTATTAAAAAGAGAATCTGTTAAAAACTTTAATGTGATAATTAGTTTTGAAGTTCTTCTGTGGTTCTTGGGAGACCCAAGAAACAGTTCTAGGTGGGCTCCAGTCCAAACTCACGTTAGTGGACTTCATGTCCTCGGGTGCCTGCACAGCACCTCCAGCTGTGTGACCCAGGCTGGGTCCCTTGGTCTCTCTGAATGTCTTCACCTGTAAAATGAGGTTAGTAATGTCTACCCCATAAAGTGTAGTGACTGCTAGGATTCAAGGACAAAGCACAGGATCTAGGAGAGTGTGTAACACATTGTAAATGATCCGTCATTGGTCCTTTCCCTCTCTTCCAGTGAGAGCTACAAGAACTATAGTTTCCTCCCTTTTCTTTGGGAATGAAAGTAGAATCTAAATGTCTTAAATTTACTGTTGATGCTCTGAGGTTAAACAACCAAAACTGATGCTTCAGGGCAGTTCCAGTTCTAATCCCAGAATAGTTGTAGTAATTCGGTCAGAAGACAGGGGCGGCTCAGCGCAGAACAGACCGACATGTAGCCCTCCATCCAGACAGGTAAGTAGCGCCTATTTGGGGAGGAAGGCTGTGCCAGTAGACAGAGTTAATGCCACTTTTAAGAGCACATTTTATACGGAATTTACAGTGAGGAACTCAGCTTTTATTGTATAATGTGGGGATCAGAAATTATTGCCATTCTGTGAGCACATGTCGTGAATGTGTCTGTAAGGTTTTCTCAGCAGTCAGTGTGTTGTTCTCAGGGCAGAAACGAAACCAGGACACGCCTCCATATAGCGATGTTTTATTTACCTCTCCTTTTACTTCACTTCCTACTATTCCTGATGCTGTCTTTTTGGCAGGAGGCCCCCTACCTGTTTATATCCATCCGGACTAATCAGTGGCCTGATGGGTTTCTGCTGGCACCTGGTTGCGTTTCCCACTCTCGTCTTTGGTAAAATGAGCGCGGCTGCCTCCAGGAACGGTGCTTTGTAAAACCAAACCAGGTTCCGTTCAGCACAGTGAAAACATGAGCTAAAACGGAATATTAGGGGGAAAAAAGCATGTCGCTCGAGGCCACGTACAACTGGAAACAGTCTGAGGCAGGCACTGGTACATCTTACAAAACGCTACAGGCAGTTCAGCCCCAAGGTTGCCATGGGAAGCGGTTGCCGTCAGCCGTGCTGCGGGTACGTGGACTGCTGGAATTGCTAGCAGATGGGGAGGCAGATGAGTCAGGGTACAGTATTAGCAGTCCACATTTTTTTAATCATAGGCCACTAATAAGGTCTGTAGCATCTGTGAGGTTTATTTAAACAGTTGCTAAGAAGAGTTTGTGTTCCCAGTAAACACAGCAAGCCTTGCGCAGGGTTTCCTTGCTTGACTACTTGACTAACCGTGTTAACATGAGCATCTCAGGTTGCCTCTTGGTGGTGGTGTCCCGTTTGTTTTGACAGACTGATTATACTAGCAACTCGTGGCCCCATTAGGTCTTGAAATGGTGTCACATTTATGCATTTAAAAACGGTGTCTGCTATTTTTCGAGATTAAGACTTTAAAAAAAAAAAATCTCTCATGTAATTGGGACTATTTTTGACAGAGGAAATAATATAAAGATCTAAGTGTTTTCCCCGAGAGCTCGAGTGCTTAGACGGCATGATTTAGAGAGCGGTTCCTTCTTATCGCTGGAACGTGATGTTTTAGGTTTCCTAGTGGACGGGATTTACAGACTGACAGAAAGTTCTCAGTTTACTGGCAGTTCTTCCTGATCAGTAATAAGCAGCCTTTTCATACTCATGAAGTTCAGAAATAATTAAAAGTTTGAACTGTCAGAATTATCAGTGGTTTGATTTAATCTTGTTTTCCACCTTCACATCTCATGTCATTAAACTAGTTGTGTTGCTTTTTATTCAGGAACCAGTAAGTTATTAATGTGCACATCTCTTACTTGGATTCTTAAGGGATACTGAGAAATATAATATTTTTAGGTATTGGTTTATGATCTTACCTTCTGGATGAAATGTGGTAATCTGGGGCCGTCATTAACAAAATGAGCTGTTTGTTCAAGCTGTCCAGTCATGATGCAAACCATACCAGTTCTCAAAATGCTCACTCCTATTCTAACACTTTCATTTAACTTATGAACATCTAATTACTATGCCATCTAATTATTATTGCTAAGAAGGTTAGAGGTTTTATGTAAAGTCCCTCACTTGTTTTCAACAAACCTTCGGTGGCAGCTGGGAGATCTCATCTACCAGCTGGCCGAAGCTTACAGAAGGTGGCAGCTCTCCCTCTGTTGAGCTTCTGCAGTTTACTCCTTTTTAGAAGACGGCTCTATAGAAATGTTGTTATGTGGGGTTTTCGTTCACTGTGGCCTTTATGGCTGGGTACTTGAAAACCTTGTGCTCAGGTTGAAGACCCAGGAATAGCTCAGCAGCACACTCGTCGTTTGTTGTGACTTAGAGCTGTGACCTCTCTGACAGGGCTAGATTAACAGTGTCAAACTTGTGCCCTGGCCAGTGCGGCTCAGTTGGTTGGCATCGTCCTGTGCACTGAAAGGCTGCTGGGGCCATTCCTGATCAGGGCATGTGCCCAGGTTGCAGCCCGATCCCCAGTAGGGGGCATGCAGGAGGCAGCTGACCAGCGTTTCAATCTGTCTCTCCCTCTCCCTTCCTCTCTCTAAAAACCAATTTTAAAAAATCTTAAAAAAAGAGACTTTTCCTAGTAGATACTATCCAAGTATCCCTTTAAAAAATTAAATAAAATAAAAATGAGAATGGCTGCTCTCCCCAGGAAAATGTACACATGAACATGCAGGATTTTGCACATGAGAAGCTGGTTCCTGGACTTGAGCTAAGAACCTTTCACTATAATTTGTACCACACACAGTGGGGTTTAATTTTATAGAATCCTGCATCAATCCCTAAATGTTTATAGTTGCTAATCTTCCCCTTCCCTTCCAACTAATTTGTAAGTTTCCTAAGGCAAGGAAATAGTTTGGAACTTATTTGCTTTCCTTACAGTACCTACCAAGATGCTGAGAATGTAATAGCATCCTGTAAATCATTATGGTTTAACAGATTTTTTTAAAACCACCTGCCTGCCACCATTGCTTTAAGAGTCAAATTCTGAAAAAACCCCACCAGTTTTAGATTTTTCTTTTAATGTCAGTAAGCTAAAAGCACAAGTGTTCAGTTATATATCTCAGGGCACCCCATAGTCCCTGAGACGACATCCCTGAGATGCGTTTCTCGGGAGATAATCTCGGGTCTTGCTGCTTTGACATACACCTTCAGGATGCCACAGATCCTGATGCAGAGCAGATTCTGTCCACAGTATGTGGTGACGTGAGGCCCCTCTCCTGCTGGTACACAGCAAACCGGGGAAGCTTGTGCTAGTGTTGTCCCCAGAACTCATCTTAATCAAACTAAACGCAGTCAGACTATGTTGTTTAGTCCAGCGATTTTCAGCTGCTGTGCCACAAGGATTTTTTAAACGTGCACTGCCTGCCTGTTTGGTCAGGGCGCTGACCTCTTTTCCCTTAGATTGTCAGAAAAAGAAAGACAACAGCCAGCGCAACAACAGCCGTCCAGTGTGGATGAACCAAAATGATACCCATTGTTTGGTCGGATCAGCAAAAAATATATTTTTGATGTGCTGCAGAATTTTAGTAATTAGTTTACATGTGACATGAGACGAAAAAGGTTGAAAAATGCTAATTTAGTCAAATCATATTGTCAAACTATAACGTAAACAGTGAAAGCCTGACAGGCACTTCAATTTCAAATTGGCCTCGCCCATGTCAGAACTTACGTGACACTTTTCAGGTTTGGGAGATTTCTTTTTTCCCCTTGATGTTAGAGAGAGAAAGAGAGAGCAAAGCATCAGTTCGTCCTCCGCTCATTTATGTGTCATTCTTAGCTGTGCCCTGACCAGGGGTCGCCCCGCGATCTTGGCGAACCAGGGTGATGCTCTCGCCGGCTGAGCTGCTGGGAGGGCGGGTTTGGGATATTTACAATGATAAATTTAAAACCCTATTTTATCACAATGCCTGGGATAAAATTATTCTAGATAATATGATTTTCTGATTAACTTTTAGAGTGCTTAAAATTTAAGCATCTGGTAAGATGCAGGATGGAAGAGTTAATTTGCCCGGCCCTGGGCCCTGGCCCCGCCTGGGGTGGCGTCGCGCTGTGTCGCCGCCAGGGTGAGAGGTCGAGAGGCCGCCCGCACGGGGCGTAACCTGAAAGTCCGCTTCGTGGCGACGGTGGCTTTGTCTTTCTGCCTTTTTTAAAAGCAGATATATTTTACCAGCTTGTTTTCTCATTTGCTCTTTTCTAAAAGCCGAGTTTTTTATTACTCTGCTGCAAATTACTTGAGGTTCCTGCAAGATGTGGCTTCTTGGTTCTTCGTGGCAGGAAGGCCTGTTATAATTGTTGAACCGTATTTCAAGATAACGCGAAGAGTTTGCTGAAGTAGTTCTGCCAAAGCTCGTTGGATTTTAACATATTGCAGGTAATCTTACTATGTTAAAATCTTCATTTTTTTCTATATCTAGTTAAAAAATCTGAGTTTAGAAGAACTGCAGATGCGATTAAAAGCACTGGACCCCATGATGGAGCGAGAAATAGAGGACCTCCGGCAGAGATACACGGCGAAGCGGCAGCCCATCCTGGACGCGATGGACGCGAAGAAGCGGCGGCAGCAGAACTTCTGAGGCCCCCTCTCTGCTGCCCCGTAACCTCCGGGCCAGGCGGCCCCGCGGGCTGAAGGAGCAGCGAGGCTTCCTCCTCCCTCGGGCCCGTGCTCCGCAGCCGGGCAGGGGCCACACGCTGGGGGGAACGCGCCCAGGGAGTTCCCGGGGCGCTGCGTGCGGCTGTGTCCACTGTGTCCATCTTTAACGCTGAGAACAGCAGACACGGAGACACTGAAAGTGTAAAACGAAGGCCGTGTTCAGAGACCCTGAAAACCCAAAGCTGCTGTTTAATTGTGCAGCACTCGAGGGCTTTATGTTATAATAGTCTTTATTCTTACCTAGTAGCCTATTTATTGTATCCCCTTAGGTAAACTTATTTATTTATGCCATTTCACTTTTTTTTTTTTAAAGGACAAGATCAGGATAGCTTTGGTGAAGGTAGGGATGTTTTAATAATTAATAATGTTCAACCAAATTATACTTTGAGCAGGGAGCTCTGGGGTGCATTCCTTGATTTCCAGGATAGTTTTCCAATAGAAGCAAATCAGTAATAGCAATAATACCTAAATGGGCCAGGCATTTTTTATACTGAAGCAATAATTCCATTTTTACCTCCTGAAATTTTTAACTTTTTAATTCTTAATGTTTGGTACAAATAGAACTCTATATATTTAGGTCAGACAGAGCTATAATGTTTAAAACCAAAGAAATCAATGGAATCCTTGTACAAAAAAAGTGTGGTAAATATTTTAAAAGAAATAAATCCTTAAGACAAATGTAATTTCTTAATAATTGTTTTATGTGTCATGTGTAGGTCTTATAGCTAAACTGTGTCAAACTGTAATAAGCTCATCGAATTTATTCCTGTGAAAATGTGCTCAATTGTCACAGGACCTTTCTGTTGATTTCATTTATTTCCTGGGAATTGGTACACATCACGTGCCTGATGTAACAAAAGAGCAAAAACATTTTCACTGAACTGTGCAAGCCTTGGGGAATGAAAAAAAAAAAGATTAAAACCATTAAAAAGAAAGTCATTCTAAGCTGAATGAACATTTGCATGATCGAACGGGGACCAGTCATTTCCGAAGCTACATCTGACCATCTTGACTGCATTTGTTTTTGTGTGTTTAATTACTATGTGTAAATCATAAAAACAAATAAATTTTACTGTGACACCCAGCACATTTCATCTCTATATGTGTGTTTGTTTGTTTTTTTAACTTATCACCTGGACTTTTTTTCCCAGGGAAAGAAGGTATATTATTAGGACAGACAAGATTGCACAGTGATAATAACTGGGAAACTTCAGTGGTTTAGCATAGCACAGGTCATTTCTCTCTTGTGCTCCATGCCCGTCCCAGGTTGGCAAGACGCCCTGCTCCTGTCACTCACACCCAGGGATGCTGCTGATGGAGCCTCTTCCATCTATAACCACAGCAAGGGAAGGAACACCGACAAGTCTCACACTAGCTCCACCCAACAGTGACGCATGTCAGGTCATCCACAACTGGTATTCAGAACTAGTTACGTGGCCACTCCTGATTTCCAGGGAGCAGGGAAATGCAGCCTTACCACGTGCTTTGGGGGGAGAGATGGGAAATGCTGGCGAGTTCACCAGTGACAGCCACAGAAGGTATTTCACCTCTGGAAAGTGTCTACCTTTTAAAATGGCATTTGTAGCACAGGTAATGCCTTGCAGTAACATTTCTCTCTGTTGAGTTCTTAGGAATAGTAAATTGTATGTGTAACTGGATATAAATTATAAGATTTTAAAACAGTAAGTATTGAAAATTTTATAAAGGTTTGTAAGAATGGAACTGTATTTACAAATATGCTTCAGCTATGTCTTTATTGGAATCTGTTTAGGACAGCAGCTGAGTCAGTCAGCTCAAAGTTCGTATCTTTTTTTCCCGTTCTTAATTGTGTTTCTTTTCAGTAACCTAATACCTTGCCTAATTTGATGGAATCGAATGACTAATTTGCCATCACCTGAGTAAAACCACCTACATGAAATGGCAAGAAAGCTGTGAAGATGATTTCTCCCCAGTTTGCTAAATTAGAAAATGTCTACAAGGAGACTTGACTTGGAGTGGTGAACACACAATACAGTGTATAGATGATGTATTGTGGAACTGTGCACCTGAAAGCTGTATGATTTTGTTAACCAATTTTTTAAAAATGTAAATTAACTGAATGAGGCTTGTTAACCACTCCTATTAATTCAGTCTCAATAAAGGTCCTCCTTTTAATAGTAAATGTCAAATGTTGCAATTACATTGTGATTTTTTATGTAAATAGACTTTATTTCCTATTGTTATATTTATGTTTTTTAAATACACATTTAGAGAATTAAGAACAGTGGGCACTGTTTAATTTTAGAGCCTTAGGAAGCTTCAAAACATTTTAGGATAATCTGTTTTAAAGTTTTTCTTATCTTCTCACTCTCTGTCCCCCACCAATCACACAAAAGAACTTAACATTAAGTTTTAAGGAACCGAAAGCCATGAGAGAAAACGTCAAGTCTAGGTAGGCCTTGATTAATCATGATGCTTAGGAAAGAGAGTTTTCAAGTTGTTTTAATGAGTTTAAAAAGCAGCCTCTTCAAGGGAGAACTCAAAGGAGCCACAGACACAGCCCTGCAGCCTGGAGCTTACTGTGGGGCTCAGCCCAGAGAGGGGAGAAATCAGGTTGTAGCTGGCACTCCCTTTAGCTGGAAGGAGCAAAGGGATTTATTTCGTGAGTATTCCTGCAGGAGTGGGCAATACAAGCTGCAGCGGAGCCCAGTGACCTGGGAAGGGACAAAGCACAGAGGTGCAGCCACGGTTCTCTGGCAATTGGCATTCCAAACAGAAACAAAGCCACAGAGCCTGGCCACCTTCCCTTAACCTCCCAGAGCTCACCTCTCCTCACCCTTCATGTCAGATTGTAGAGAACATTGTCTGCAAACCCAAGAACTGGTACTACAGTTTCTGTAGTACCCTGAGCAAAGGGCTCACTCTCTGATTAATCCCAGGGTTAGATAGAGGTGTAGGGGAGATGCCATGGAGGGCAAAGCAACAAGTGAGGCAGCTGGGTTCCCCCAGCTCAGCCCATCCCCACATATCACAGCTGTACTGCTAGTGGCATTTGGCTGTGGTGACAGCACTGGTATTTCATAGATTAGGAGCCCAGTCACCAACTGCATTCTCCTGTGGGGTTTGTCCCCTGGGACTGGAACAACCAGATCACAGGGGAGGTGCCCACCTTTCCAGGGAACACAGGCCATTTTCCACAGAGATCTGAAAAGCCAGAGAAGTGCAAGAGAGCTAAAAAAAAAACTTGTGATTCAGCAACACCTACTGGAAAACAATAGGAAGACCTTATTATCAAGCTTCTACAGAAGTGCCATTCATATATAGATGCCTAGACAGAGAAGGAATCCATCAAATACCATGAATAATCAAAGTGATGCTGCTCAGAAAGAAAATTTAAAATCTCCAGAAAACATAGACATAGAAATATGTAACTTAAATGACAGAGAATTCAAGATTGCAGTTCTGAAAAAAACCTCAACAATATTCAAGAAAGCACAATGGGCAGTTTAGTGAACCAAATCAACGAACAAAACAAGCACTTTACCAAAGAGATTGAAACTTTAAAAAAGAACCAAATAGAAATTCTGGAGATGAAACACTCAATAAAAGAGATGAAGAGTGAACTAGCGAGCATAGGAAGTAAAGCTGACCAGATGGATGAAAGAATTAGTGATACTGAAGATAGAAATCTAGAAATGACACAGAAGGAAGAAGAAAGAGAACTTGAGCATAAAAAAATGAAAGAACTCCATGAGCACTCTTAATGCCAATCAGAAAGAGCAATATAAGGATAATAGGCATCCACAAGAAGAAGAGAGGGAGAAGGGGGGTTGGAGAGCCTATTCAAACAAATAGTTTTATAAGAATTCCTCAACCCTAAGCTCCTTAAATTAAAATTCTGATGTTGGGGTCACTCTTCTATTCACCCAACTCTACCTACCAGGTTAAGACTGAACTCTGCTTCCTGGCATCCCAGACCCAACTGCCATGACCTTATCTCACATTATTAGCTTATCGTCCTTTCTTCCACCAAACTGAAATGCTTCCAAACGCTATTACAATTAAAGCACAGAAGTCATTAGGTTAAGCGCAGAGAGAAGGGTATGAAGAAAGTAAATGAAGGGGAGCAAAGGGAAATAGTTTGTTTTGGCATGATAGAAATTTGTAACCCAAAATGACAAAATAGTGTCAAACCTGACATTTCCTCAACAGAAAAATAAGTCTTTCCATGTTATGAGGAAGCACTGAACACCGAGTTTTAAATTCTTTCAGGTACAAAATCCAGTGCCTGCAACTAGTTGTGTTTTCCGTGTTTAGAGAATTTGCCAAGGTGAACTGTAATTAGTTGAGTGGAAGCTAGAAGAAACCTGAGATGAAGGCTCTCGGCTTGAAAATACTCTCTTTCTAACGTTCCGTGAGTGCAGAGAGTGCTGGCGGGGGCAGCGCCGCAGCTGTGCGTTCCCTTCCATTTATTCCACGACAGCTTTCCCTCCTATTTAAACAGAAAATATTCCAAGCAAAAATATGCAAATGAGAAGACAGAACAGCCCTGGCAACCCAAGTCTCTGATGTTAAAAAACGAGCCGCACTGAGGAATCTGAAGCGGAGAGCTGTTTCGTTATTAATGAGTCTGTGCAAGTCCACGAGTGCGTCCTCTGCTGGCCTTTCATGAAGTATAGAGATGTTTATGTTAAAAGCCCACCAGCTGATGACCATCAATCAGTTCGCATGCTTAGAATGTGGTCTTTGGAAATTATACCTGATGTTAACTGACTAATGACCCTGGGCCTTGACAAGTCTCAGCAAGGCACTTCGGTGTTGAGGTTGAATTAACTGCTTTAACGAGTTCAGTAGTGACCTGGGATAGGATTTAGATTTTTGAATCTGGCAGGTGATCATGGAAGTCCAAACAATGCAAGTTCTTAATGCAAAATTATTCCAATTTCACACAAACCTGATGGGTTGCTAATTTCTTATTTAAAAAGATATATATATATATTTGTTGATTTTTTTTTTAGATAGAGGGAGAGGGATAGAGAAATGGAAACATCCGTGATAAGCGAGTCATTGATTGGCTGCCTCTGTACACTTCCTACTGAGGATTGAACCCAAAGCCCAGGCATGTGCCCTGACCAGGAATCAAATCAATGACCTCCTGGTTCATGGGTCGACCCAAACTCTAAGAGAAAGTTTATTTAGAAAGTTGCAGAGATGGAAGAAGTGAGTGGTATAAGAAATGGGCTCAGGAAACAAGTTGTAGAGGCGAAGGAAGGCTCCTTGGACCTTAGAAGTGAGGAAAGTAAAGGCGATGCCCCTGGGGGGTGGGGAGGAAGGGGAAGACCCCTGTGTGCTCCAGGGAGGGAGAGCAGGCTGGGTGCTGAGTCCTCCATCCTAAGGGTTTTAAGGGTGGAGATTTTAGGGGAGGTCCTAGGGGAAGATCCCAGTAGAATATTGAGCAGATTTCCAGGTGTGTCCTTTTGGGGTCAGGGTCTCCACTGATTGATTGCTCAGCCCCAGGGCAGGGGTCATTATCCAACACAGCTGGTCCTGAGGTCAGCCATGGGGTCACTTGTCTGGTTTTGCTGCTTTTCTGGGCCTGGAGCTGAAACACAATGAGGCCTAAATGTTATCTCTAGGGAGGAAAGGCCAAGGGATCTAAACCGAATGACCAGCCATATGCTAGGGGAGGAAAGGTCACCCTGGGGATGAGGTCCCAGCCTACAATTGCCTGTCGCTAGGCACCTGGGGCTTTCCTCCCTGATGGTGACCTTCTGTACCTGGCCCATCGCCCTTGCTCTCATGTCTGACTGCCTGCCACATGTCTACCAGTCACACCCAGCAGACGCCTTGGCAGCCCTCCCTCAGTTCTGGGCTCATTCAGAAATGTGCACGGCAGGGAGGCTGTCCCTTCCAGTCCTGCTGGTAGTGGCTCTGCCTGACCAGCAGGTCACAGGGCTCCAGCCTGGGAGGCTTGCTAAAGATGTCCACACAGCGACACCCCTTCATGGAGGCCTCCCAACCCTTGCTTCAGTAACGCAGCAGGTCCGATCCACTCCCCAGACCCACGACTTCTCTCGCATCACTTGCAAGGAGAGGACCCTACCCCATACTTTACCTGGAC